GAATAAGCAATATTTTTCAAGTTCACTAGTTCAGGGGTAAAAATCCCTGAGACACAGAAAAACAACAAACCCGTTTTCTTTGATGGAAAGATGTTTGTCAAGGGACACTGCTGACGGACAGCCATAAAGATAAATGATAAGATTGAAGAGCAACAGTAAGACAGAGCAAGGAAACCAGTCTGTAGCGCTAGGGAATTAGGAATGCCTTTGTGGGGCAGCATGGCACTTCACCAAGACTGCCTACTTGTAAGAAAAGTGTTCAGCAGAAATATATGCAGAGATACAAAGCACAAGATACATACATGCTAACCTTGTCATTAAGATGGGAAACACTTTTATAGTATGTGTCAAGAACTATAATCTCATTTAATTATAAACAGTTTACGATTGACCTCAAGAGCTAAACTATAAACAAGAATAAACAAAATATTGCACCCCGATTTCAAAGTCACCACCAAGACATTTATTACTTGAAGCCAGTAGATTAAGAAACAGATCCACATATATTTTCTGTTGCTTGATGCCACTGCAGAATTGCTCTGCTACAAGCGTTTAACAGACCAGGTCACTGAATTCTCTGGGACCTGGAAACCGATCGCAGAAGCAGCATGCCTCTGACCTTCCTCCTCAATTCCCTGAGGCTGCCACCAAACATCAAAACAGCTCTACTGCTTCTACTTTTTCTGAGTCATACCCCAGTGGGGTCCTGTTCCTTGCTACATGCTGTGACAAGGGTCCCCAACTACATCCTTTTCCTTAAGCCTATTGTGCATACAGAAGTGGCACCACTGAATTACAGCACCATGCGGGCTTTCACTGCTATTTAACACGTAGGCAGGTCAAGCTTTGCTAGATCAAACAGGAGCTCACCCATACTGTTCACCAAGGCTGATCCGAGCCTTCAGGATAGTGGAAGAAAGTTGCAGTACTTCCAGGTTTTTGAAACATCCAAAGCATTAAGAAGCCTGTTACATCTGACAGATATCAAGCCCCACAATAAGCAACACTTGGAGGGAAGTGTGGCATAAATGGTGAAAGCGAGTCAAAGTTTCAGTCTAATCTAAAGATCTAATCCTAAAGGTTAATATAGGTTTCATGACCAGTATACTTAGCCTATGATCAGCTACGAGATTTAGAGCTATTAGCAACTAAACAAGAGTTTTAAGAACAACACTTAGGTTCTGACCTAAAGATCTATAAATTACCACTGTGGAGGGATGATCTAGTTTGAAATCAGATTATCTTTAAACTAACTAGAAAGCAATCATGCTTCTGCGAGGCCCTCACTCTAGCCACACTTGCCCAAGAGCAGGGCAGGACTCTTAAGAACAGATGTTGATCACATGCGCCCTGTGCTATTTTAACATCAAATTTCTTTATATTATTTCTGCCACTTCCTTAAGAGGATAGTTAAGCCAAGCGGCCCCAGCCCCACTTCATCCCAACTGCGCACCCAGCTATGCGCTTAGTTTACCAGAACAGGAATAGCAAGTTCTCAGAGATTTGCTGATGTGTTACGTTATCAAAAGGCCTTAGGAAAACAGCCACGACAGAGGAAGAACATACCACTTCTCCCAGCGAGGCTTACCCAGTGTGCTTATCCTGAGGAACAGACACATCAAACTGTCACAGCTCGATTTGTGATAACTCTCTCTAAAACAACATTATATTAGGGCATTTGTTCCACACAGGGATGTGCGGTTTTATAGAAGGACTGCTGTTCCAATTCTCTAAATGGACTCTCCAGACTTCAGGCTTTTGCCCTAGATTTAGGTCACTAGTAATTGGACATGTGTGGAAAATGCACAGGCTCACTTCAGCGTTGCTTAATTAATTTCTTAGTCTGTTGATTTGGCAGTCATCCTACAAAACAGACCAGTTGGATATTTAAACTTGTATTGAAGACTACATTAGGACAATAGCAAGCCTCCCAAAAATAAGCCCAACTCTTTTGGTACTAGTGAAATAAATATTTTAAATTGCCTGGAGTACAAAGTGAAATCCATTTTAGTTGCTCAGGTGAGACTATAAGCTTAGTTAATTAAAAGGAATTATTTCTGTTATAGCATTCAGATTGGAAAAAAAGATGAAGCACAGAACACAGAAATCCAAAGACTTTACCAAGACCTTCTCAAGATGAAGCACAGAATCAACAGGTGCCAAAGTCTTGTGGCAGTCTTGTGGAGCAGAATCAACTACAGCTACTTTTAATCTGGGACATGATATTCCCTAAGCAAGTGGTGAGTGTACCAACTACATGTTAATGCTGCAGCGTGAAAGAGTTCTGTGCATTATTTTGATCTGTACCAGGCACCTTTCAGTATTGCAACTGTTGTTGGAGGAGCATGTTCATAATGAAGAAAAGCTTATCCACTGAAATAAGAATTAAAATTCTTTCTGCTCCCAGAAGGCTTCTGCCACAGTTTTTTTTAGTCAACTTGCTTCATGTTTTTTAAACCCTTCTTGAAGGACACAGAACAGCCCCACCGTGCTGAGTCCTGGCCATCCTGCCAAGCTTTCTGTTGGAGCTCACTTTGCTACCATCTATTTACTTCATCACGGGTCCCATGTGCTTTAGGTAATTTTGGCTTAAGCCTAAACAGCAAATGAGAAGAGACAGCTGCCTCTCTGCAGGAACTTTTCTCACTGGTGACCCTGGGGGCTGAGTTGGCAGAGCTATCTGGACTTTATAGGAAGGCTGCTCTACAAACCAGCCTTATAAAACTCTATTCGCATATTAACTGGAGTAAAATATATACTACAGATCAGGAAGTATTGTATTTTTTTGATGAAGAAACAGGTTCTGTGCGTGAGCAGATAGTTTCATGGTGTTTTAAAGCTAACCTAACATGCCTACCTTCATTTAAAATTAAAAGGCATCCTGGTTCCTTTTACTAAGAAGTGAACTCTGGCAATAAGAAGGGCCTGAAGACTGAAATAAACTCCCTTTAACAGTACTGAAAGGGAACAGATCTTTTCTTTAAAAGCCTTGTATACAGGGCCGCTCAGATAGTTGAAGTAAAAACAACATACAACAATATTTGCAAAAAGCTTAATATAATCTTTTGAGTCTATAAACTCTAAACAATAAATATAAAACATGTACATGGCACACCAGAGCAGCTAAATATTAAAACAAACAAGTGCAAATTGATAACACTTACCTATATTGTCAGCAATTAATTTGTTTCACTACTGTGATACAATACAAGCTTAATATACAAGACGTTTTTCCAAAGGAAAACCACACAACCAAGTTGATACAGGAGGTGATGGAGAAGGGGAGACAATAAATAACAAGGCACAAAAACCTCTCGCTGCAATCCCGTAAGGCACCACTGTGCAAACGTGAAACTATCAAGACCTGTAGTGGAGAAATTCTATGCCTTTTAGATGACTGGATAATGTATTTTAAAGATCACACTATGCTCAAATCTTTAGGAATACAAATACTTACGAACCTTTATTCACACTTATAGGCTTTTAAAAACAAATTAGTGAAACGGGTTAATTAATACTCAAATACAGGAGTCAGTTAATTTCTCCCAGACAGCTTCACAAGTGCAACTTGATCACAACCTATACTGGCCTTGTTAATAGAGTCCTGGAACAATATGATACAGAGGGAAATGCTGCCAATTATGTCAAATTGTGTGTGGCACACCAGCCATTTTAACAAAACAGACTGCAGGGATTAGGATGAGAATAAACTCATTTTCACTTGTAACCAAAAATTATTTAAATCCAGAGATAAAAGGTTATAGCATTAATCTAACATCATACCTAGGAATCTTAATACCCAAAGTTATAATTTATACCTTTGTTTAAGAGCTGGGCACCAGTATTTTTCTTCCCTATTCTGTTATCTGCTCAGAAAATCCATCATGAGACAAACTTCAGCAAAACCCTTCTCCCTTACTATAAGGTTACAGATACATAATTAAGCTTACAAATGATGTTCCCCCTTTTTTCTTTATGTCCCATGATCTCTACTGTATCCCACTAGAAGAAGTTTTTGTCTTCTCTCCAATTATATAAAAATCTCCAGATTGTACTGAAATTACTTAAAATATGCACAGCTTGGACAAGTTTTTACAAGATGAGAAGGGGATTTCACCGATAACTAGAATTTTCTTCTAATGAAAGATTTAGGAGGCACTCAGTCTGTCACGAGCTTCGGACACATGAATGACTTTTTTTTACTTGGGGAACAATGTCAGTAGACTACACTTCCAAAACTTCTGCTTCCATTCTTGCAACTTGAACAACTCCACAGCACATAGTAAACAATCTGGATGAACTTCACTATTCAGTTATTGGCTAAGTTTTGTTTTCTTCTATGACATGTTTTACTCTTTTTACTCTACACAAAGATTTGTGGCAAGTTAAAAACATTTCAGGTCAGGCAATCTGTAGCTTCAGTGATGCTCAATCTACCAAGCTGCCAGAGAGGAAAGATCAGGCCAACATAATATTTTTTTAAACAGAGAAAATGGAAGAGAGAACAGTCTTCAGTGATAAGTTAACATTCATATAGCTATTTGCTGAAAGGCTGCGCCAGCTTAGGCATGCTTCATTCCTTATATTCAGTCCTGTTTTAAGGAAATAAAAATTTGAGCAAATACAATGTAAACAGAGCCAGGTAGACTGCAGTAGTAAAGGACAACAATATCGTTGATCTTACAGGTTTAAGGCCAACTATTATGATTTGAAATATATCGTACTTTTCCATGGCACTTAATACACTGAAGGTTAGTACTGTGTGACATTAAACAAGGGTATACATATTCATATAATGTGATATATACATGTAGCTTCACTTCCTAAAATAGAAAGTTCAAGTTTTCTTGCCCAAATAAAATCAATTCGTGAAAGACCACTTGTGTTTTCCTATACTGAATAAAGTAGTATTACTATTTTAATCAATTTAGTGCAAACCGACTTAAGTCCAAAGACATACCATTCCTTGATTTTTAGTCACTACTTACCAAATGCCCCTATTTCATTTAAAAGACAGCTACACTTTTTCCCCCCCCGTTCTTAAAAGAACAGCAAACACTTGACAACTAGCATGCTGTTCTAATCTACGTTAACAAAACTTGCCGATATACAAATCGTGTTTTGGTCATGCAGCAGACCCATCCTCAAAATAATCCATCTCTTAATTCAGTCAGGCTAGAAGAGGAGCACAGTGCCACATTTTAATTAGCAGGTCATCCTGGCAACTCCATACTCCAAGCTGACAACAGCAGGCTCAGCTTTTGAGAACTCTTCCACGAATTCACTGTAGCGATTGTCTGCTGTGTTGCTGCCCTCTATAGTTCTTACAGCATCATTCACCGGGATCAGTGGCTGCTCCTTCTTGTAGCATGGCGGGGTTTTCAGTGCCGGGGGTGCAGGATGAGCAGATTGCTGATGTTCCTTCACAAGGACTCCATCTGACTGCCCATTTTTCCGCTTTATCTTCTGAAATATAGAAAATAGTTACTAACAGTGAGCATCACTGCTTTACTGATAATATTCTGCTTTGAGAGGAAGTGAATCCACTTCTTTTACTGGCCAACTCAGCATCTGCAGGACCCTCTATTACAAATCCTAGGTTAGATATGTAGCAGTATTATTATATTTAGGCCTTTGGGTAAGAATATTCCCCCCACACCAGTTGACAGCAGGTGCTACAAGCACTGTATGCTTAAAGTTTGCAGCTGAGCAGAAGGCAATAAGGTTGCCTGTCAATGTCTGTAGAGAAGGAGAGGTTCTTCCAGGCTTACCCTTAGTTTGGTTTCTATTAAGGTGGGAATATTTTCTGAAGTACAGGAAGAGGAAGATAGGCCTTGATACTATTAGCAAGCAGTGAGCTTGTAGTAGACCACAAGTCTCTTAAAAAGAAAAGTAATTTTGTACCTACGACCTTATGTCCTTCCTAAAAGCCTTCTAAAAGACTTTTGCTCTATATCTGAAAAATGCTAATAGTTTGTTCAAATGCAGGAATACACTAAAGGATGTCTAACAGAAAGCAGGATTGGAAGAAAGTACCTATCCTAGAAGCACTGAGCAAGAGAAGAAGAAAGATTTGGACTAAGGTGTTTGCTTTTTTTTTTTTTAAATTCAAACAAATCTTACCCAGTAACTGTGAGCTTGAACTAGTTAACTGAACTGATATTCAGTGTTGATGTCTTTGTGGTCTATCAAAACCTAGACTGAGCCCAGAAGAGTTTAGTGTCTCCTGACACCAACTTTTTGAAGACGGAAATAACAGCAGGAAAGCCTACATCAAGATTTCAGACAACTTCATGTCTTCATCACTCAACTTCACCTGAGCCTGCATTACTCACTTAACACCATGGAACAAAGTTTAGTAAAATGAAGTCTCAGTTTTGAATTTTCATCTTGCTTATTCTTCAACTGAAGGTGAAGCAAGTGTTCATCTTGCTTCTTCAATTGTATAAAAACTTTTAAATATACAATTAAGATCTGAAACAGTTTAAGATTGAGTGACCTGAATTCATTACATTACAGTACGATCAATTTAATAAAGTCTTTCCTCTTGGAGAAGCTGTACTTCCCTCTCCCACACACCAAAATAACATAAAGGAGTTAAGTGTTACCATTTCTAGACACACACAAAAACGTAAAACTGATAATTAGAGAACTCTTGCATTTTTTAAAATGTATTGTTCTGAAGTTTCACCACCTTAACTGACCATAATGAAGTATCAATTAAATGCTACTCATGAAGCCATACTAGAATAAAGTGAGATACACATCTTTCCTGGTTGTTTACTGTCGGAACCTATTAGAAGTCATTTATAGAAAGCTATCTCTGGATTTACCCATCTTCAAATAAGCAGTACAATGTATATGCCCCATTATTATGGCGACTTACAATAGCATGCACCTGCATATGAAGTTAAGAGAAGGACAATACTTACTGCTTCCATTTCAGTAGCTATAATGGAAATAAAACATTTTCAGTCTCCTTGGTTTAGTAACACAGCTGTAGCTACGATGGGTACCTTGTCATCTAAGACAAGTTTAACATAAATTTAACCTATATTAAGCCATCTTCAGTAATGTTTTGGTAATAGGAGCACTTTTGCATAATACAGTTCATCAGTAAGGCACAATAAATTGTGTTTAAAAGCAGAACATTGGCTGCATAGTCTGGCATTCAGCGTAGAACCATACAGCAATAGTCAAAGTCAACATTACTTAGAACAAGTGCTAGGCCATACAGTAGCGACATTCGTATGAAAGCTAGCAGCATTATCAGACTATAAGTGTGAATTTGAAGAACAACTCACAAGTAAGTAGACTTATTTTGCAATACTTACAGCTTCCAGTTCTTTAATTTCTTCCTCCAGTTGTTTATTTTGTTCGCTCATGTTCATTATAAGATTGAACACAGATTGCCTGGGATGCATACTTCGGTCAAACTGATGGTACATATTTCTCCAAAACCTGCATGTAACAGACAGTTTTAACTATGCAGGATAAAGAATCAAAGAAAAGAGACTGTATATAATTCAAACTTACTTAAAATTGAATGATACTGTATTAGGCTCCAAAAGAGTTAGTCCTGGAGAAAAGTCTGGATTATAAAGAGGATTCTGATATTTCTTTTGTTCATCCAGAAGAAATGGCCACAAGGAATATGTCTTCTCTTTTAATCTTAAGGCAAGAAGAGATCACAGTCAAGACACTGATTGCAAGTAAAAAGCAGAAGCTGTTCAATTCAATATAATAAATAAATCACTTTTAAAAAATAAGTTACTAGAAATATTTATAAATCTTAAATTAAAAGCTTTTAGTAAAAACTTCTTCTGGCACATGCTAATGCTGGACAGAACTATCAGGTTTAGAAGTACTAGTGCTTATGCTGTGCAAGTTTATCCTAGTTGCAAGAAGTGCTTTTAAAGTACAGTTTGAGACAAAGATGAACTGATGAAAACTTTAAACAAGTTTCCCAACTGAAAGCATTAAGAGACATTCTGTTAATACTTCTGACAGTAATTAGCCTTGAACAGGCAAAAATTTTAAGGTTACCTAAAAATAGATTGGGGGAGGGCATCAGATGATGCTTCCAAACTTAAGCTTACTCTTTTTTTGGGGGGTGGGGAGGGTGGGTGTGGGGGGAGTGGATGGTGCAAGGCTGGAGAGGGAGAAAGAAGCCTTAATTTTCCTTATGAAAGACAGAAAGACAAGCATGAAATTTTCTCCCAGAATTAGAAAGAATGTCTTCAACACACAAAAGCATGAGAAGCACAGCTGTTCCCTGATACAGGTCTACATAATTTTCAGTACTCCCAGTCCTCTCTCTATTTCTATTCAGGGCACAAAATGAAGAAGAGTCACAGGAGTTCTTAGTCTGGCAGAATAAACGAAAGATGGTACAATATATCTGCTTACTTTAGTTCTTCTCGCTCTTTTTGGCAGTTTCCAAGGAAGTTACCAAACTGGCATGAATGGACGTGTTCATGGATCTGAAGGAGGAAAGCTTCATTGTACTCAAAGGCTTGCGGAAACTGCTCAGTCAGATTCCACACACTTTCCAAAAACTGGGTGAACACTGGTGAGATCTCTTTTGGATCACCATCCAACTGACCACACCTGAAAAAGATTGCATATCAGATTGAAATTGGTTTAAGTTAGAAATCAAAAAAAGTCATAGTTGTACTTGTTTTTAAACAGCAGCACATTAATTTGACACTAGCTTTGGTTTGGAGATAAGCACCTAACTTTGAGAACTGGGGCAATTTCTGAATAGAAATAAGTTTATATTTAACCTATTTTTCTGGCTTGTAAGTAATCACATCTGTATTCAGTACAGAGGAGCAAAATAAGACAGTTAAGTTCCTTTGTGTCTCTTACTTCCATAGCCAACATTCGGAGTACACCAGCTAAAAGCAAATTAATAAGCACTAAATAGCAGCAAGGCTATTACCATAGCTGATAGGCAGATCAAGGGAAAAAGAGAACTCTTAACATACAGGACTTCTAAAGGCTTCATCATTAGATGTAAACAAACACAAACTCATTTTAATCAATTTCAAAACTGTTTTACATTGCCTAAATAGCTAGGACATAGCTTTATATTGGTTTTGCACTGTCTGTGCATACATGCAGATCTAGCTGCAGTTATCACTACCTGAGAGTTAGGCACCAGTAGTACTAGAAATTTATGTCTATAATATTCAAATACCTATTGTATAATCGATTTATAAATAGCAATACACAAAGTGCATTGTCTACTGAAAATAGCTTACTCATTGCAAAATTTCTAGCAACACTGCAGTAGTTGTCTTTTGTTTTCAAGAATACTTAGTTCAGTTCACTGTACACATTTTACTGGATTGGAAGAGTGAACTACCTGTCAGAGAACTTGTGCCCAAAAGAGATCCAGTCTTTCTCTATCAAGACCTAAGGGTAAAAACAAACGAAATTCATGTAAAATGTTACTCAATCTTACATGTATAGTATTAACCCCACAGGTTATTGATATATTGCATTTTAAATTTGAGTCAAATAGTTGTTCCTACTGTAGTTTATTTGTTACTTTGTAGTTCCTTTATTTTCTTGGAAGTATTTCACAAGAGGGTCTCAAAACACATTTCTAAAACTAGTAAAAAAGGTTTAGCAGTGTAGTTAACTGCTGTTAAGCCAGGCTCGCTTTAAGCATACTAATATTGTATGACTTCACAAATAGATTATCAACCAGCTTGCAAAAAAATTGCAAAACATAGGAAAAATTTTAGTATTGCACTCCTGCTATTGTAGTTTACATAAAGCCACACAACATAACCTTTGTAACATTTTACAGCAATGAGTTTGTTAATATCACTGCTAACTTGTTTTATCATCATTTCAGTCACAGTATCAAGCACTGAAAGGCGTTCTGCCCATTACAGAAGTTTTCGCAGAAATCTAATTGACAGTGAGGGCAAAAAACAAAGATGAAATTACTTCCATAAAGATTACACACATTCTCAATATTCACAAGAAATTAATCCTCTTCTAATTCCTCCTCAACTTCACTTCTGTTGCTTGTAATATTTGTTGCAGATAGTTCTAACCGATACATGGAACTAGTTTTATGTACTATTTTTCAGGAGTTCCCATAGCACTTTGTATTGCCACTACGGAACACAATTTTCCTACTCTAAAAATTGCAATAATCCTACTGAAATTCTTCTTCCTCTCTACAGAAAGATGAAGAAGTTTAGATTGCTTAAATATCTTCAGGTCTCTGTCACTGGGGGAGTTGTCATTTTGAGATTTTAATAATGCTGATTTTAGGACAAGTGATAAAAGCACAGAGCTGCTGTAATTTCATATATCTACTATTTCCCACAAGCACTTTGGGATCCTTGTATTTTATAGGCAAAGGGCTTTTTTGGATGCAAAATGCAATCATTGCAACATTTCTGTAGGGTGCCTAAAGCAATCCACTATCTGTATTTCAGTTTTTTAGATTTTAAATAAAGGTTCTTCCCAGTAGCAAAGTATTTCTAAAAGAAAGATGTATCGGTATACTGCAAGTCTTATTTGTAACTACAAAATGCAAGCATCAGTATGTTTACACTGCTCACTTTCACACTCAAACATTTTACATCCTTTGTTTACCAAGGAACTCAGCAATGCAACAGGTAGCTTACCATGAATCCTTTGATTGTTCTGTAATAGGAATCCAGTAAGAGAGCTCCAAGGGAACAAACTTGGGACGTCCTATCCCAGCCATCTGAGCAGTGCACTAATACACTCGCGCTCTCAACCGCTATTGCCTGTGAAACAGTTGTTTCTTAGTGAATGGTCTATTCTGGGCAGAAGTCAAAATTTAGTATATAAATACAAGAGCCACATTTATCCCAAACTCACAGCATAGATTGTTTTATTTAACAAAGCCAGAAAAATGTTTATTATGAGGAAAGGATTTGATACTATCAGAAAGCTAGGACTTTCTCCCCATGGAAGCATAGGAAATTCCTTACCAAGAAAAGAAATTCCATACCACAAGGCAACAAGAATATCTACAGAGGTTTCCAGTTCTCTTTCTATCCCTTATAAAATGAAACATAAAAACTCCTTGCAATGCGTACTAAGAAAGAAGTAGACTACACGTTACAGCCTAAACAGGTTAAGAAAAAACCAACCTAAACACACTATTAAAAGATACCTACTTGTTTATCATTATACTACACAAAAGTTTAGGGCTAGGAAATGCTTATTAGCTTCAGCTAAGAATTAAATCCTGTTAGTCCAAATATTTTTGAGGGTCATCTTCAGGAGAATCTCGCACTTTTACCTAAAGTTAATTCCTTGTTATTTCACCTAGCAAAAACAAAGATCCAGGCTTTTTCTTCACCCAGTCCCCCTCAGGTCAAGTCCTTGGCTTTGTAAGTGCCTGGCAAAGGCAATTGTTCCTCTGAAGTCTCCAAAGAGTCACATTTCCTTGCCAGATGAAGTCAGCATAATCAATTTGGTTTCTCTGCAATTAGTACCCCAGGAATTCTGTTTTTCAAGATACAATGAATAATTGTTCCATCTACCTCCAAACTGGTTACACCTTTCATAAATACCTAAAAGAACCAGGGAGCATAAGAATCCCTTCATCTTCTAATACAGTGACCAAACAGCATTCAAAAAATCCCAAAACATTACCCAGCATATTTAATATCTCCAGTTATTTAATACCTCCAGTCATAGAGAAACACATAATACTTAAAGCAGGATATCAGATGTATTGGTGTACACTAAGAATCTACTTCAAAAAAGGTCAGTTGCAGAATTTTACACATTACATAATGTTAAGTATAATTTTGCCCAGTAGCTGGTTAACTTGTCATCAAACAAAGCTGCAGCATACAAGTTACCTTGACTAGGAAAACAGCAGCATCCAACACAGCTTTGATATGACGCAACCATCCAGAATTCTCCAAACCAGACAAAAAGTCATTGACAGACAAACCCTTCGTGCCACTGACTGAAAGAAACCAAGAGTTAGAAGGCCTTAAGCATTTGCAGCTACCTATACCCTGCAACTGAGAAAGAATAATAATTATATGTTATTTCTAATGCCTATGCTGTAAATTGATTAGAAATCTTTCAGGAAAACACCACTGAAATGGTTAAGAGAGGTACTATGAAGTGTGCTCCATCCAAAATTCAACTCTCTAGAACTACAGTAACCATGAATGACAAGAATAAGACATTCACGTCTTTTTGAAAAAATAACATTCAAAGTAAATACACTGGTTATCCCCAAGGGGAAACCTTACCAAGGAAGGCAATCCAAGTGCCAAAAGCTTAACAGAAATACTTGAAAGTTACAACTACTAGTAGAAAGTAGCTGCATCCAGACAGTATATACAGTGCGGAGTAGGCAGACTGCCAGAGTTTTATCACCTTCTCCAATTTGCTTAGGAGAACAAAGTGAATGTAGTACAAGGACATGGTGATGAACTGAAAACCATTGAGATTGTCCACCTCCAGACTTGACATACAATTCTGACTCTGATCTCTACCATTCTTCCCTAGTACTTCCCTAATACTTTGATCCTGTAACAATAATGCCGACAGAGTGCAGGGAAGAACTCAAGTTAAAGGAAAGCTGTATTGCAGTGTAACAGCAAGAGCTGTAGAAGTCAACTGAAAGTTTCTCACGCAGATGCTTACCAATCCATAAATGAGACAGATAACCTGGTTCCTGTATGATTTTGGATTAACAACTCACACAATTACATAACTGTTCAAACATGACAAACTTCTGGCAATAAAAAAAAAGAATATTCATTGGCCAATACAGCTTCAGTTACATGTAATTTTAAGAGAGAAACCTGAGGTTGTCATCCACAAGAATACCTGCCCCTGCCACAGAGGAAGCCTACTTTCTAGCAAACTATACCTGGTATGCAGGTAAGCTAATACCTGCCCCAAATGAAAATAAAAAGGCTCTATAGCTGAAAGATATCAGTGGGGATATTCATACAGCAGCTGCAAAATAATCTTTACCTTTGAGTATAGGAGGAAGAGAGTCAATAGGGAAAACAGAAAACAAAATTTACTAAGTCATTCTGTGACACAGTTTCCTGTTCAGTCAGGTTCCCTGACGTAATGAAGGCTATAGACTCCTAAACCACTGCCACACGGACCTTTCCTGTAACTGCACTACATGTTTCTCAGCTTTCAGCCATACAAGTTTTTGTACGCTCCCCACAGCTCTTCACAGGAAGAGTCATAATACCAGTTGCTGTTGAATGCTGTAACAGAGACAGGCTTCCAAATAAGTATAGCAGCACCTCTTCTAAAGTCTATAGATCTTTGTCATCTAGAAAAAGAGCTAGCAAACCATGGCAAAAAAGGTAACAAAACATCAAGAAACCCCTGGATACAAGACCTACTTTTAAAGGTTAGCCTGTAAATATCGGTAAAAGCAGTAAAAGCTATGTTAGTTTTCCCTGGTGTTTGAAATAAATAGCACTGTTAGGCAGGAGTTCTGCTTCTGCAAGGACTACCACATGGAGGAAATCAGCTGAGAACTACTTGATCCTTTCAGCTAGCTCGCACTGTCTCTAGACCAGTGGTTCCACACACCTGCTCAATCACAACAGTGCAAAGACAGGTCCAGCACTCTACGGTAAAGGAAAGAAACTAAAAATATTCAAATATCTGGGAAGTCAAACATTTTCAGGGAAGGGATTGGACAGACAAGGCAATGTCTAGAGGCACTATTCATGGCTGCTCACCCATACATTCTGTAGCTTATGGTTTAAAGCACAAACGTTCAGCTAGAAAGTAAACAGGCTTCCAGCCCTCAGTTTGTTTTCACCCAGATACTGCTGTCAAAATCTGCTTTTGATCAGAATTTTGAGCTTGGTAGAAATATTTCTCCACTGGTATTTCCCTCTTGTAGCTGGACTTCGATATTTTTATAAAGCAAGGCAGAAGTAAGAACACATATGTTGAGCCCAAAGAATTACTTTTCATTTCTGTGAATTAGGACCGACATTTTTATACTACTTAGTGTCAATGCAATTTCTTTATTTCATCACTGTTTTGACACTTATATGCTGAAAAAAATAATTTCCAGTCCCTGATGGTCCCTAAAAGGGTCAAAGACAATTTATGGTACCACTAAGATGTTTAGCTACTTCACAATAACTATCATTCAAAATAGCTTTGCCTACAAAGATCCCATCACAAATACATGCCCTGCATGCACGGGAGCCCCAAAACCTCAATGTTCTGTTGCTTGCCTGTCCTTATACACACTACTAGCAATGCCTCAGGCAGCAGTTCAAGAGGTGACTAGAATCTGCAGACTGAAGCACAGCATGCTGGGGGCAAAGGTTGTTTTTAACAACTAAACAAACAAACAAACCCATCCCCCCTACACACACTCCACAGAACCCACAAAAAAAAACCCCTTAGTTAACACATTTCCATCATCAAAATATACGTAGCAGACCACAGCAGCTATTATTGAGCCTTTTCCTCAAACATTTCCTTCAGGAATGCTGTTTCTTGACATACGCAAAACCTTTTTGCATATCAGTCTTTTCTGACATGTAATACTGAGGTTTTGAATATATAAAACTGAACTTTTTATTTAGTAATACAGCCTCAAATTTAGTTTATGTGAAGATTCTTCCATTGGTGTTGTACAGATGGGCAGTCTGCCCATCAGGGGAGCAGAGTCATCGTGTCCACACAGAAGAAAGCTATTTCAGGAAAGTTTTGTTTCACTGCATGCAAGATACTTAAGTAACAGCTGAATCCAAGATGAAGAATAGACTGTAAATCCCCCTAGCATGATCCATGGTGTAGTCCCATTACAAAAGGATGTTGGGAAGGATTATGTCTTACATCCTGATTTCCTTCAGGATCTAACAATTCTGTTTGCAAGCAGAAAGATACACAAAGAGCCTTCGAGGAGGATACATGCTGAAGAATTAATAACAGTTGCTTGTTATAAATAAAACCAAGGAGGGTCCCAGTTACAATGGGTCTTGAAAGAATAGTGTCGTTGGTATCACATTCCTGATTTGAGAACATTTGTTTCAGCACATCCAGAGGAAGCTGGTACACAGAAGTTAAATAGCATTTTCCTCATTTTAAGCTTTGAGCCATTTTCATAGCATTTCCTTCCTGATCACCCCACTGACGGCACATTTCTACAGGGGTCTGAAGACTAAATGATTGTGTACCTCCCTAAATTTTAGGGGTCCTTCCTATCCCTAAAGATGCTTCTACTTCTAGACTGGCATTCGGCAAAACTCTAGTGAATTATACAGACTGAACAGAGGTAGAATTACTGTGTTCATTTACCCCAAAACCTGATTGAGAGAACAACTGTAGAAGTTACTCACAATTTTGTTTCAATTGACTTTCAATAAACCAATCCTCCACACAAGGAAAAACTAAAACATATTCCAACCTTAACAAAAGCTTCAGAAGCATATTTGCTAAGTACTGTTGGTGGGACGCTAAGTCAAATGGAAGGAATATGGAGTCTGTGAAGTTTAACTGTGATGCACACACTTCTGCATCAGACATTATTATACAGGAGCAGGCCTCTTAGGTTTTTTTTATTTTTTTTATTAGCTAGTTTTCTGGAACTCAAGATACTAACAAAATAAAGAGGGATTATGCTAGACTTAAAAACTGAAGTTCAGGCTCACGCTTCTCATCTTTACCTTCAATAAAGTATGTGCAGAAATAACCACAGAAATACATATTATCAAAGCTCAGTACTATTCCATACAGAGTGCCTGAAAAATAGATCAGCAGCAGATACAGGCTCAATGAGAGTGAAGTGAGCCTACACCACTAGTTCGTAAGATTTCTTGACCAACGTAACCAGAACGTCTTCATCAAAATAGGCTTCCATACAAGTGTAAGCCTTCATCATGACTGGAAATATTTGCCTAATTCTAGAAGGCAAGCACTTAATATATGTATTGTTTGTCTGGTGTGGAAGCCTCACTTCTGCCACTGTACTTTAATCTCAGTATCAATACTCTACAAAGTGTCTTAAATTTGTTTGCAGCTGTTTATCTAAACAAACTACTGATGTTCTGGAGCACGTCCAGAGAAGGGCAACAAAGCTGGTGAGGGGTCTGGAGAACAAGTCTTATGAGGAGCGGCTGAGGGAACTGAGGTTGTTCAGCCTGGAGAAAAGGAGGCTGAGGGGAGACCTTATTGCTCTCTAAAACTACCTGGAAGGAGGTTGTAGAGAGACGGATGTCGATCTCTTCTCCCAAGTAATAAATGATACGACAAGAGGAGATGGCCACGAGTTGTGCCAGGGGAGGTTTAGATTGGATATTAGGGAAATTTTCCTCACAGAAAGGATTAGTAACAAGTAATCAGTAATAAGTGGTGTCCCTCAGGGGTCAGTACGGGGTCCAGTCCTGGTCAACACATTCATCAGTGACCTGGATGAAGGGATAGAGTGTACCATTAGCAAGTTTGCTGATGACACAAAACTGGGAGGAGTGGCTGACACACCAGAAGACTGTGCCACCATATAGTGTGACCTGGATGGGCTCGAGAGTTGGGCAGAGAGCCCAACACAGGCAAGTGTAGGGTCCTGCACCTGGGGAGGAATAACCCCATACATCAGTACAGGTTGAGGGCTGGGGAGCAGCTCTGTGGAAAGGGACCTGGGAGTCCTGGCAGACAACAGGATGACCATGAGCCAGCAATGTGCCCTGGTGGCCACGAAGACAAATGGTATCCTGGGGTCCATCAAGAAGAGTGTGGCCAGCAGGTCAGGGGAGGTCATCCTTCCCCTCTACTCTGCCCTGGTGAGGCTGCATCTGGAGTATTGTGTCCAGTTCTGGGCTCCCTGGTCCAAGAAGGACAGGGAACTGCTGGAGAGGGTCCAGCAAAGGGCTACAAAGACAATTAGGGAATTAGAACATCTCTCTTATGAGGAAAGGCTGAGGGACTCGGGTCTTTTTAGTCTAGAGGAAAGACGACTGAGGGGGGATCTTATCAATGCTTATAAATACTTAAAGGGAGGGTGCCAGGGGGATGGGAACAGTCTTTTTTCAGTGGTGCCCAGTGATAAGACGAGGGCTAACAGGCACAAACTTGAATATAGAAAGTTCCATCTAAACATGAGGAGGAACTTCTTTACTTTGAGGTTGGTGGAGCACTGGCTGCCCAGAATCTGCCAGGTTGTAGAATCTCCCACTCTGGAGACATTCAAAATCTGCCTGGACACTGTCCTGTGCAACCTGCTGTAGGTGACCCTGCTCTGGCAGGGGGGTTGGACTAGATGATCTCCAGAGGTCCCTTCCCACCCTGACCATTCTGTGATTATTAAACATTGGAACAGGCTGCCCAGGGAAGTGTGGAATCACCATCCCTAGAAGTATTTAAAAGACATGCAGATGTGATGCTTAGAGACACGGTTTAGTGGTGGACTTGTCAGTGTTAGGTTGTTGGTTGTACTCAATGATCTTAAAGGTCCCTTCCAACCTAGACGATTCCATGATTTTCACCACCAGGTGGCAAGCAGCGTCATAGTGAAATAGTTCACTTCTCTCCTGCCCTCCTCTCAACAAACACTCAAAGAGGCACCTACAAGCAGAGAAGTGGCTCACCAGGCCAAAGAGCTTAAGTTTTGTACAGACAATATGCTTACTGTGAGTTCAGTGGAACTAAGTGCTCCTTGAAGAATCAGTATTCTATATATGAAAATGCATGTACAGACACACACTATTTTGTGTATTTATATTACACAGGTATGTATACATGCATGTATACTTGGAAAACACAGAAGTCTTTCCAACAAGCCAATGACACACTACTCAAGTTCACCCAAGATGTGTGTGCCACTCAGTTAATTTTCTTCTAAATAACTCCATTCATTGGGTTTACATCTTAAAGATGTAGGTTTAAGGTAACTCTATCACAGACAACAAACTGGTACTAAACATAGAGCTAGGATCAAATATAGAAATATCAATACAGTTTGTATAATTTACTATTGAAGACTTCAGAAAAATATTTATCTTACTTTCATATATACTATTATAGTACAGTTAGAACATACCTTCCAGAAGTTTTTGCAAGCTGGATCTCATTACATGAATATTTTCAATGCCAACAAACTGGAACCTAATGTTAGAGTAGTTGTCTTCATTCTCATAGCCCTTCCCAGCAGCTCTGTTTGCCATTGCATTAAGCTTAAAAGAGCAAAATAAAAATACTGAAAACCAGTACTTGAAATAAAAAAAGTCAAATTAAGAAATGAAAACAATGCATTTCCAATGAAATACAGTAGGAAGAAACCAACACACAAGAGCATATACTATAAACAGATTCTAATGAATTAACAGTTGGTGGCAAATCAACTTGAAAGCTTTCAAGTGTAAGAAAGGCATAGTACATAAAAAGTAACAGACAGTCTATATTTAGAGCTGACTTATCTGAATAATGCATTTAATAATTTCCTGTTCTCTCCTCCATATTCCCACCAACAAACCTTTACTTACTTCCAAACATTTGTGAGCAAAGACACTATAACACAACCTAAAAAGGAAATAGTAGGACCCAGACTTAACCATACACACACTTTCTAGACATATTAAGTGTCAGTTTTGGGGTTAAGAAGCTAGTAAGTTGCTGCAGCTATAAAAATTACAATTATAAAAA